AGACTCTTATTTCACTTCTTTTTGCATTGATATAAGAATATTTTTATTATTCCACTGCTCAATATTTTTTCTTATTATATTTTCCTGAATTAGCATGTAATATTATCAACTTTATAGCAACTTGAAATATGGATGAAAGTTGGACAGTTCGAACTTTTGTAAAAATGTAGAAAGTTGTGGAATTCGATTAATTTTCTCCGAGTGCTATAAAAGCTTTTTAAATCGCACTCAAGAAGTTTTTAATGAAATTCTATTTGTTAAAAATGTATTTTAGCAGTTTTATTGAAATTCCATAAAATATATAATTATATAATTTATTTTTATACTGAGTGAAAATTATTTTTTAAATGGTATCATTTAAAATTAGAGAAAAAATAATTTTTTGAAAATAGATTTGTGTGTTTAAAAACGTTGTATTCTTTCTTAATCTTTTTATAATTAGTGTCAATTTTTAACGAGTTTTATGTAAATTTTTGGTAATGGAGGTCTAGAGATTGACGTTGCCAACATTGTAATCGATTGTCATTCCTCAGTAGTCTTTGACGCCGTTTTTTTTTCATACGGTAGTTTTTGATATATTGTGAATTTTTTTTTTGGCAATATACAGGGTGGTGCACCTCATTCGCCTCGGTTGATTATACGAAAACGGAAAGATGTAGAAACAAAATATTTTAAGGGTATACGTGGGAAGGCAATGTGCATAATTTAAAATTATTTTGAAATGTACAGGGTGTGTCAGAACTAAGATCCATACCAAAGTTATGTTTTTTCTTATGGAACACCCGGTATTTTATTTCATTTTTGGATTCTTGGACATAAGGTAAGACATTTATTATAAGGGTTTAATATGTTTAAAAGCTTTGGGTTTTGAGATATTTAAAGATATTTAAATATGCATGCTATAATAAAGGGTGTCAAAAATTGCTGGTCTATTTTAAATATGTATTTTATAAAAAACTTCGTTATTTCAAATGCAAGACTATGTATTTTTTAAAATAAATCGAAGCAGATTTAAATGCTCTTTCAAACTATATTAGTGTCTCCTACACATATCTGGCTCAGATTTTGAATAAAAGCGATTTTTTTAATAAACTTGTAATCAAGTTGGCTGGTGACGCCATGGCAATTTTCTATTGACACTTAGTCGCTATTTTCAAAATCGACATTAGTTTATAGCAGAGAATAGGTACATTAAAGAAATGCTAACTTCATGTTAAAAAATGGAAACAGACGCCACCTGGTGTCGCCTGGCAGTACTAGCTAAATTGAGGGGAATTGGAGGGGCGGGGCTTAAAAGAGGGGAAATTTTTAAAAAAATATTTTTATAAGAATCACTGACTTACTGTTTAAAGTTAATAAACATATTTTTTATTACTTTAATATAATTTAATGTATTAAAAAATATGTTTATTAACTTTACACAGCAAATCAATATTATTAAAGGCTTATTATTTTCAGAGAAAATTCATAGTAAATAAATTACACATTAGTAAACAATATCATTTATTTTTTAGAGCTGCGATTTATATTACAATAATATTGAAATATATATATTTTTTTAACAATGAAAAGAATATCCGGAACCTGAAAAAGAAAGATGATCAATTAATGACTTAAATTAGTTCAAAATACATTTTGCAAATAACTAGTGAATTGGAAAGATAAACATACTATTAAAAAGACATTTTAGTAGTATGTTATCATCTATTTACTGATAATACATCACATAAGTATATAATAGGTAAATAACATGCATAAGGCACTATGATACAACTACCTGTATCATGATAACACAATAATATCACAAAAAATATATGCTAATTTAAATTCCTTTAATGATCTAATGAAACACTATCTAGCCTCAATGCATGCCATTCCAAAGGCAAAAAAAACTGTTATACCAAATAAATATAAGCTGAATAAAACATAAACCAAGCCAACGTGCATAAACAACTAAAAAATGCATCAAAAAATACTTTTATCAGATCATACCCTTGGATATATTATGTATTTTATATATCGCACGTCCCGTTCAAAAGTTTACTAACTCAAAATAGAGAATATAGAGAATATTGTCACGAGAAGTAAAAGAAAATTTAAGTTAAGGCAATATGCTCCTTTTTGCATATTAACGGCCAAATAATATAATGTTGATTTAATAAAATTTTACTTGCATCCTTCTGAGGTATAAATCAGATTAAAAGGACATTGTTTTTTTAATAATTGTTTGTTTTGTAAACATTTTTTGAAGACAATACAGTTTTGAACGGGCTGTGCGATATAAATAAGGATCTTACTATTATTTGAGGTTAGAAAGTATTTAAATAATATAAAACATAATCAAAATCATTTTTCATCATAAATTATAGAGGTACTTACGTGTTTTGATATTATTATCAGGAAATAATACGTTTAGTTAAACAGGTACGCTGCCAGGCAAGTTCTATCGGCGGGTCTTTGCAAGAGTTGAAATCTAAAAATACAAAAATACGTTTACATCTTAGTTGTATTTACGAATAAAGTATTTGTGTGTAATTTCTGACTTACCAGTTAACTGAATAATCGCATTAAATACATCCAAATGGTAATTTAATATTGTAAAAAGCAAAATTGTTTTAAATCACTTGCCAGGACAGCCCGGCCAGCTTCTTTGTTGACAAAATGGCCGCGGTATCATGATTTAAGCAATGTGAGTGACAAAGAAAGCCAATGCCTGGCAGATGTTGCTTTCTTTGTCGTTGGTCCTGGCACGTTTAAATTTGACTGTTGCCTGTTTTCCCATACAAGTGACACCCCCGTGGTTTATAGACTTTATTTAAATTTATAATAGGTTATTTTTATTGAATTTACCTACAATAAGGTTAATTAATAAGTACTTATTATTTTATCAAGAAAAATGAAGCAGTATCTGCTGGCGGAAGAAATGGATATGTTACTAGTGATTTTATTTTGTGAGTTGCCCTGAATTGCTTGTTGGCCTGAAGGGTTTATGCTTAAAGATATCCAAAATATCCAAATAGGAAGTTTCTTGACAAGAGTTCCTTTGAAAAACTAATTGTGCAGAAACATTAGGCAGAAACATGTCGTTGGAAGTGAAGAAAATGAATTTGCCTTAATTGGTTCTTTTATAGAAAATCCAATATATCTACCAGTGATCTATGTACAAGTGATCGTAATATAAATCAAAGAACTACTTCTTTATTGTTCTTGATAAAATAATAAATACCGTATGATTTTGGCGTCCAGTTGGCTTAGAAATGACGATCGATGACATTTTCCATATAATTTTACATATAAAATGACAGCGATCTTCATTTCATAGCCATCGCTGACGCCGTTTTTATTCGATCATATGGTACTTACTTATTAAATTATTGTAGGTAAATTAAATAAAAGTCAACTGTTATAAATTTAAATAAATTGATGTGGTCCCATGCTCAGAATTAAAGTACATCGAAGTTCTACCAGCCGTCGCTGGATGTCTTCTATTACTTTCCACAAATGTACAGGGTGGGTCAAATTCGACGCTTTTAAATGGAAACACCCTTTTCTATAGGAGATAGACAAAAACTAATATCGGTGTCTGGAGCTCAATTTTTATCAAAAACATGATGGTGAAAACCGCACATCAATATCTGTTACCGTTTCGGAGTTACGGGGTGTTTTTCAAAAATGTGCATTTTTAACAAATCGCTGTAACGCGAAAAAGCACCTTTTTACGTAGAATTTAATGGTTTAAGTATAATTTTTTTAAAATTAATAATTTAAGAGTTATCAACAGAAAAAATGATTTTTTATTTGGGACACCCTCTATATTTTTAATTAACTGAAAATAATTTAAAATTACCTATCCAAAAATATAGCACACTTGATATTTTGTTATAATCCCCTTCGAAATACAGAATTTTTAAAAGTTCACCACTTTTAACTAGTAGGCTTTGGACCCCCTATTGATGATATGCCCTTAATGGAACTCGAAAACATATTTTTCCAGCAAGACGACGCACCGCCTCCGAACGCTGTTATCAACAATGTTATCAACAAATTTTTGCAGCCAAATTCAAGAATAATTGAATAGCTAACCAAGATCCCAGCCGTTGGCCGTCGAGGCCGCCTGACTTAGTGCCCATGGATATATTTGCGGAAGAATAAAGGTTCCTTATTCTTCCGTATAATCTATACAAGAATTACAAATACTCAGCAGTTATGAGAGGGTATCCTTCACCCCTACTGAGTTAGTGAATTCCGCGGAGAAATGTTCAAAAACTGCCCCGTCTGTCCATCACAGAATACGGTCGATATGTCGAACACCTGTAGCAAAATTTCATGTCTTGATTTGCCATTTATTTTTATTGTTATTAGATGTAGTTTAAATGTGTTGATGTTGGTTAAATATATTTTAAATTGTTATAAAATTCTGCCTCTCTCATAGCAAATATTATTTTCGTTTTAATTGATGCTCACACGTAGAATTTTTTTGCATTAGAGTCGAGCCGGGGCGAATTTTTCGCGGAGGAATCGAGCAAAATATCAAGTGTGTTATATTTTTAGAAAGGTAATTTTAAATTCTTTTCAATAAATTAAAAATATACAGGGTGTCCCATATAAAAAATCAAATTTTCTGTTGATAATTCTTAAATTATTACCTTTAAAAAAATTATACTTAAACCATTAAATTCTACATAAAAAGCTGCTTTGGAAATGTTTTCATAAAAATAAAAAAAAATCCATAGCAAAAAAGTTACAGCGATTTGTTAAAAATGCATATTTTTACAACCAAACCAAACACCCCGTAACTCCGAAATGGTAACAGATATCGATATGCGGTTTTCACCATCATGTTTTTGACAAAAATTGAGCTCCAGACACCGATATTAGTTTTTGTCTATCTCCTATAGAACAGGGTGTTTCCATTTAAAAGCGTCGAATTTGGCCCACCCTGTACTTGTATAAATCGATCAATTTCCTTCCGTATCCTAATCGGTTCTTATTTGTTTCAGAACTGAACTCGACGGCGTCTACTCCGTCCCTGGAAGACTTCAAATTAGACGTAATTTATCAAAAGGACGCGGTAATGGATGCTCTGGAATTCTCCTTCCCGAACGCGAGCACCTCGTCAGACTCAAATGAAATTCCGCAAACTCTGCCGAATGCGACCGCGACCGCAACTTCAGGTAGAGTAGACAGAGCAGGCATATAGAGCTTGTTGTAGTAGTTTGGCAAAAAGCACCACTAGACGAGCTAGATACGTGAATATGTATTAGTTTTAGTGTTGTATTAATGTTGGTGTTGGTATTGAATTTATTGAGTGAAGGATATATTTATGCAAGTTGATTATAGTAATTAAAAATAGTGGTAGGAAAAATTGCTTGGATATACAGGGTTATATTAGTTAAAGAAGTCTAATATCGTTGTTATTGACAAAAATATGAAAAAATGTTTTATATAAATGTTATTACCTTCTAGTCTAGACTAAATATTCTTAAATTTATTGGTAACAAAAACGAGCAAAATCAGAATAGCCATCAATTTTAATTATTGTTGATCGCTCAGCAGTACTTATTCCGTAATAAAATTATTTATTGCTCATTAGCTTTGGACATTTCCAAGTTTATTACTCTTTTGATTTATTATTTTGACACAGAGTTATATCATCTGAGACAAACACATGTATCTAATAAACTATTTTGCTTCCGGGTAAACAACAAAAATTTCACTTTAGAGGTTCTAAACCATTTTATTGTTATTAAGCACGGCAGATAACTCTATTTTTATTGCGCACAGTAAAGCGTGATAGCTAAATTTACTTTTCATGGCAGGGAGACCGTAAATTGTTCTTTTATTTGATTTCAGAACGGAAAACGGGAAGTGAAATTCAATTTTACATTGTAATATTGTTTTTTAGAGTTTTTTTAATTTACTTTTAGGTTTACCTTTGAGATATAAATAAATAAACTTATGTTCGTTATGTTCTTTATATTAAAACTAGCTGACATGACTAACTTTGGTGACCTAACCTAACAACCCAACAGTTACGTAAAGTGAACATTTAATTTGTAAATCTACTGGTACGGATGACTAATTGACCAAATGATTTGGTATGATTGAGACAATCGCTTTGACAGTTGTTGTCATTTGTTCTCTACAGTTATGTTTACAATTCCATTTAAGTTATTATACATTTCAATATTTTTCTAGATTTTAATATGCAAACCTTGTAGTAGAAAGCAAAATTATTGAGCAAGTTTCATAGTTTAGATACCTAGGAGTAGATATGTCGTACTACCCAGATCCAAAGAAACATCTGAGAAGTCAAATAAACAGAGCAACGGCCATGTCTAATGCAAATAGTGTGGACAAATCCCTTCCATGCAAACAGACAGCCAAATTAAAATTTATAAGACCTGTATCAGACGAATAATGACATATGGCATAGAAATACGATCAGACCATCAGCTCCTATTTGCCAAAATAAAACTCAAACTCAAAACACCCTTCAACCACATAACACCAACAAGATTAATAAAAAGAAACAGCGAAGAAATTCTCCAAGGAACCCAGGTTTTCCTGACTACCTCAACAGAAAATACAACAGCCCAAGAAATATGGGAAGCTTTCAAAAAATGCACAACAACTGCAACAGGGTCAGAAAAAGAAGATCAACCGATAAAACGACAACACTGGTTATCGAACGAGACATTCCAGATCATCGAAGACAGAAGACTTCTCCACCGGAAAGGCATACATACAGAAGAAGAGAAAGAAGAACTAAAATACCTGAATAAGGCAATAAAGCAAGGAGCAAGAAGAGACAAACAACAATTTTATTCTGATATATGCAAAGAAATCGAGGGACGCAGTCTAAATAACCAACCAAGAGACCTCTTCAAAAAAATAAAATATATTACCAGGGACTTTAAAGCCAGAAATTGGGCAATCGAAGATCAAAATGGAACTTTAAGAACCAAAAAAGAAGACATTATTGAGATATGGAGATCATATTGCGAAGATTTATACAAAGACAGTGAAGAATATAACTATGTCGACCACCACGAAAATTCAGAGAAAGAACCGGACATCCTTAAAAGTGAAGTTGAATTGGCCATAATCAAATTAAAATACCATAAAGCACCAGGTTCAGACCTAATGACAGCAGAAATAATAAAAGCCGTTAAAGAACCTGGATTAGAAATGCTTCATCTGATCTGTAATAAAATATGGCACACAGGAGAATGGCCCGACGAATGGACACACTCCACCATTGTCACTCTCCACAAGAAAGGGAGCATACATAAGTGCAGCAACTATCGTACAATTTCCCTCATCTCACATGCCAGTAAAGTATGTTGCAAATTATAAATGAAAGACGGAAAGCTTTTCTAGAAAGAGAAATTCCAGCAGAACAAACAGGTTTCACCAAGGGCAGAGGCACTCGGAAACATCTTCTGAATATGCGCCAAATCATAGAGAAAGCAAGTGAATTCAACATCTCTCTTTATATTTGTTTCGTAGGCTATAAAAAAGCTTTCGATAAAGTCAGATGGCACTTGTGGAAAATCTTAAAGGAAGTGGGGGTACCGCAATACCTTATTTCACTTATCATCCAGTTGTATCACCCACTTCAGGATCAGTTAGAATACTGGATTCAGCTTCAAAGGAATTTTCCCTCAATCAAGGAGTCAGACAGGGGTGTATATTGTCTCCTCAACTATTTAACATATACGGAGAATACATAATGAGAAGGTCACTAGAAACATGGGAAGGAGGCATTTCAATAAATGGCCAAAAATAAATAATCTACGCTTTGCAGATGATACAGCACTACTCGCTAGCAGTCAAGAAGAGCTAATCAATTTAGTAAATAGGGTAGAAAACGAAAGCAATCGGCTCGGTCTGGAACTAAATACACAAAAAACCAAAATCATGATAGTTGATAGGCAACATAGCAACCATCCAAATATAAGTCATATCGACCGCTTTGAAGTCGTTAAGTCATACGTATACCTGGGATCAACATATTGACAAATACAGGCACATCGGAAGAAGAGGTGAAGCGTAGGTGCAACATGGCAAAGGTAGCTGTTGGGAGACTGACCAAGATCTGGAAAGACCGCCAGATATCAAGAGTCGTCAAAAACCGGCTAGCCAACTGTTTGGTACTCCCAATATTGACGTATGGCTGCGAATCGTGGACTCTCAGGCAGGCGGAACGTAAGAAGATCGATGCTACCGAGATGTATTGTTATAGACGTATGCTCCGTATCCCATGGACTGAACGCCGTACAAACGTTTCCATTATAAATGAACTTAATATTACTAACAGGCTTTCCTGTAAAATCCGACTAAAACTGTAAAACTTCTGTAAACTTCTGTAAGACTTCCTGTAAAATCACAACTAAAATATTTTGGACATATAATGAGGAAAAGTCCGGACAATATGGAAAGACTCATAATTCAAGGCAAGGTGGAGGGACGTAGACCACGTGGCCGCTCTCCAACTCGATGGATAGACCAGTTCACGACTAGCTGTAGCAAGCCAATGCACGATGTCATCGAGATGACAAAAGACAGAGGCGCATGGAGAAAAATCATTCATGATGTTATGCTGACCACTACACTCCCTAATGGGGGTCAGGACTGAAGAGAGAGAGAGATAGAAATACGAGAGGAAACAAACAAAACCAAAAGCATGTTAAGGGTTGCTAAAATGAAGAACCTAAGAACCATAATGGGGAAGACTAGAAGAGACAGAATCAGGAACACAAATCTCAGACAACAATATGGAGTACAGGACGTAGTGAGATGGGGTAGGCAAAGAAAAGGACAATGGTTCGCACGTAAAACGCATGGAAGAAAACAGGCTACCACGCATAGCTCTTGAAGGGAAACCCATGGGTAAGAGACGAACGGAAACACCTCCAAAAAGATGGAAACGTTTTATCCTTTTTTTCAACAACAACTGAACGCAACAACTGAACGCCACCTACTCTACGGCATCCAACCCGCTCATCAGCGATTGAAATCAAGGCATAGCTTCCTGCGATCGACAGAAGACTACGAAGAACCTAGAACCAATGTGGACCTTTGGGAGAAGACCTCAAATCAACATTGGATGGAGCCGAAGGAACAATTGGCACCAGGAAGCGACAAAAACTGGGAAACTTGGAGAGCTCTTAACAGACTGCGTACGGGCACAGCGAGATCGAGAGACACTCTTGCCAAGTGGGGCTACCATGTGGACTCCAACCTCTGCGAATGTGGAGCACTACAAACCACCCAACATATGTATACTTGCCCACTGTGCCCCGCCAAGTGTACTATAGAGGACCTTATGGCAGCAAAGTCGAACGCAATTGACGTCGCCCGCTTCTGGGCAAAATATGTTTAGTTTTCCGTCTCAAATGATGTTTATACATGCTATGTTTGTTTTATATCTATGTTTTAATGTACTGTGGTTTCATGTATAACTTTTATGTTTGCAATTTTACTTATTATTATTATTATTATATGTAATTATTGTTGTTATTGTTGTTGTATGTGATATTATATGTATATGAAATGTAATCTTGATGATGCTTCTGACACGAATAAATAAATAAATAAATAATCCTTTTTTTAATTCTTCTATAATTAGTGTTAATTTTTGACAACTTTATGTCAATTTTTAGTAAATGGTTTCGAGAGATGCCATTTCTAAGATGTCCCGTCCACGTCATTACTAAGATGCCCAACCGTCTTTGAGGTCGTTTTTTTATCATACTGTATCTCAAGGCCTGGATTGCGCAGTCCAAATATTGAGAAAAGACTGTATATGTGTGTCGCACACATAATTAACAATTATATAAACTTCAATACCACACATATTGAAAGTTTAATTTATTTAAAACAATAAATTTTTCAAACGAAATTAATGAAAAAAAAATAAAAATAATATATTTCTATTTACGATTATATTATCATTTGAAAAACATTTATTCAGCGCAGAAACATAAATATTTAATTTTCGTTTGGAAGTAAATTTTATTTGCTTTGGATAAAAAAAATATTTTTATTTTGGAATTATACTGGAAAAATATCTAATTCTTTTTCCTTTTTAATATATTGTAGGTAATAATCCCAAGTAGCATTTGGACGTTATCTAACGTCGGGTATACGTCGCGTTCAATAAACCCGACGTCGGGTACCAACGTCGGTTCGACCGCCTGACGACCCTTATTTGCACCTAAATGGGGAATACAGATTCGGGTCGCCTCGACGTCGGTATCTGACCTAATAGGGAATGTAATTCTACCAATTACCAACGTCATATTACGTTGGATTTTAGTCACTTAAAATTCGTCGCTAAGCACTTACGTTACGTTTGGTTTCATATTCGCTACCAAGAATACATAAAAACCTAACCAAACTACCTAATTACAAATGGATTCATGATCACTCCTCGAATATAACTATAAGTGCCTATCTAATTTCATATTATAATAATTCTGAATCATTAATCCAGACATCAGTTTTGTCAACGGAAGTCACTTTTTTGATATATCTGATTAAAATGCTCCGGAAAACAACGAGCGCCTTCAAAATTAGGTAGATTTATGAAATTAAAAATAGCTATAAAAAAGTTACTCGCAAAATATTTTTTTAATTTTCTAGCTGGTTTAATCATAAAACTGTACTGTCGTTCCTCCCAAACTCAACCTTATCAATATTATTCTACTAGAAATCGAAATGTGAATATAAATTTTAAAAATAAAAAACGATTTTAAAATGGCTGACAATCGGATACTTGTTAAGAATGGCGGATTTCTGTGTCCGACTTAATATGAACTACCAATATACCAATTCCGATCGGGTCTCCAATATTAGTCGTCTCACACGACCGAAGTCATCAAACCGGGCGACCGGCAATCGTATTATGACATATAATTCCAAAGTACGCCACGTAACCTCACTTTGCGTATCAGTGATTTGTGGATTTGTGCAACTATATTTTAGTTTTTGTTTTCTCTTTAAAACAATGGGCAGCCACTTTTTAAGATAGTCTATAAAAAATTGAGCAGCCACTTTTTAAGCCTAACCTCACATGTGGGAAGAGGATGGGATCTGCTGCTTTCCTAAGCTAAAAAATGAAATTAAGATGCACCAGTGTAATGCAGCATCTCTTCCGGATAAAAAGCATTCGTGGGTGGAGGGAAGACATCACTACTACTATTATTATTTTGATAAAGCCTCGACCTCTCTCTATAAAATGTAGATGAATGTCTAAATGCCTTTTTAGTGTTTTTTTAGGCATAATAAAAGAAATTAAGTTTGTTTACAAAAACTTTTTATTAGGTTATGTTCATGATGTTTATTAGGCCGCAAATGCTACTTAATGGGTTGTATTTACGGACGTAAATAGAGATACGTAAATTAGGTTAAATATATGAACATAAAATACAACAAAATATAATTGGACGTTACTTTAGGGATTATCAGTGAGACGTATCCTATTCGGGCAACGGGTAGACGTCGGGCTAGTTCAAGTATAGGTACGTCGTGCAAGCCAATGTTGGAACGACGTTGGGAAATTAATAAAAATGGTACGTTCTTATTTTGTACGTATCTGTACTTAGTTATTTTGTACGTTGTTATTTTGGACGTCACCAGTCGTATCACCAGCACCCGACCTAAATTTGCACAATGTCTGACGTCGCTTCAGGTCAGATTCAGTTCGAAGTCAGATAAATGCTACTTGGGATATTTGTCTTGAGAATTTATTTATTGATTTTAATTTGTCAAAGCAGCGATTTATGCTGTTATATCAATTAGATATTATTAGCACTCACAATATTTATAAGCTAGTATGATGACTCCCAAAACTAAAGTAGGAATAGGAATAGGAATATTTGGGCCCAAAACTAAATACTCGAACCAATGGGCATCTATTCCAGCATCTTTCAGGCAAAAGTCTACGCTATTAAAAGATGCGTGCAACTTATCTTAGACAGGGACTATCGGAATAAAGAAATAGCCATTTTATCCAATAGTCAAACAGTCTTAAGAGCGATCAACTCAGTAACCGTCAATTCGAAGTTGGTTAAAAAGTGCCTAGAGAAGCTAAACAAATTAGGCAAAGATAAGGTCCTCCTACTCTGAGTGCCAACCCACCAAGGGATAAAAGGTAACGAAAAAGCAAACAATCTAGCTAGAAAAGGAGCGAACGCTCCACTAACTGTACTAGAACCGTTCTGCTTCCTAAGTGGAAACCAACTTAAAGCAGAACTCAAGAACCTGGAAGAATTCATCCGTAACGTGGAATGGGAATCCCCCAATAGTCTAAGATAGTCGAAGATGTTTCTCAGGACTTACGACCGACAAAAATTGAAGATTTTCCTTGATTTCAGTAAGAACGATCTTTGGATTGTCACGGGGTTTTTAATAGGACAATATTTCCATAATAAAAACCTTAGCTTAAGCTAAGAATCAACAACAAATGCAGATTCTGTGGAGAAAATGGGTAAACGCCAGAACACAAATACACAATATAATACTATTAATACACACAAATATTATTAAGGTTGCCTACCTCTCATACAACGGTTTTCCAAAATATTTTCATTTTTATGATTTAGTGAGAGTAGATCTTTATTATTTGAATCTAGGTAGTTGTGATACGTCTGATGTTACTAAAACATAGCTGTAAAATTAGTCCAACTTTAACCATAGATAAAAGAAAATAATCTACTATTAAGATAGATATGAAACTTAATAGTAAAATTTTGGGTCAAACCGTGTTTTTAGTGGAGACTAGGTTTATAACCCAGCGCCTTCGCCTTTTCTGCTGTAAATGTTTTTTATGTTTATTTTTTACCTACTTTAGAGCTTTATTTAGTACGTAATGGTTCTTAATTCAAGGGATTTAAGTAAAATAATTTATAAATTGCCGTTGAGTTATATTTTTACTCGGTAATTGTACATATTTCATTACTATTATCTTGACTTAATGCATTCTCTTCGTTCTGATGCTCTAACAGAGGCTCCTTTTATTTTGTAACACTCCTTATAAAGTCCGGCACTAGCAACAATAGTTTTTTGCACCATTTCAATGTTTTTATTAGTGTTTATACCTCATACGTTCTAAAATGATTACAGGCTACATACTCAGAATAGGTCGAAATAATAAGTCTTTTCGAAATAATCTAAAATCGAATTTATTGAAATAAACGAAATCTACAATAGTAACAATGTCTTAGGTTATGTTAAGCAATTTTATTAAATTAAATCAAAATCTCCTAATGTGTCAAATTTTTCTCCGACAAATAAAGCGATATTTAGCAGTTCAGGTCCCAAATCTGACGGATAAGGTTATTTTATCTAATAGATATTCGTATCTATAGGTGAAGATACACTTTTTTCTGCTATCCATCAAATAAAATATATCTGGCGGATTATAACGCGCTATCTATACCTGAAAACACCGGAGGTAAAGGTAGTGTTTATAAAACTCGACCAACTATTGTCGACAACATGAGAGAAATGATTGTGACTGCTCTTCGAAGTAGAACTCCACAAATGCCTTTTAACATGAAAAGGTCTTTTGAAAAGTGAATCATTTTATGTAGTGAACAGGAAAGGAAACATATTGGGCATTTGATTTCATCTAGCTGATTTTTGTGTCATAATTATACGCTTATATCTAGTTTTAATTCAGTAATAGTTAAAATATGTTTTAAAAGTGTATCATTTTAGTACCGTTGAGTATTTTACCTTACATCCTTAATTTATACCTAATTTTTCACAAAATTAGCAAAAAGTGTATCACAGCCACCTAGATTTTATCAAATAATAAAGATCTACTGTCGCAAAATCATAAAAATGAAAATACTAGGAAAATCTTTGTCTGAGAGGTAGGCAACCTAATAGTATTTTAAAGATATATAAATTCTCCATTGAATACCGGTATAATATACTGTGTATTTCATTTAAAATTAAGGAGTAACTTGCTTTTAAAAGTGGCCAATTTTCGATACTAATTTTGTTGCTTAACTTTTCGGATCAAATTTTAATTTGGTTTAACATACAATGGTTATTGTAATTAAATATCAGGCTAAACAGCGTAAATTACAATGTAGGTAGTTGTTATTGAAATTTAAAATTTATTCTTCATTTACACAAAATGTGAAATATGTCAAAATCCTTACAATTTAGGCATATGTTTCTTTAATAAAACTCACCTTTATTTTTTTAGAATCTGAAAATCAGTTAATATAGAGTGTGATTCCATTACAAAAAAAACAACTTTGATTTGTAACTTTTTTTAGGGCCACCATGTAAAACTCTATATATTTTTATAAAATTGCTTTCAATTACCCTACATATTAATATAGGCGCCACCCTGTACTATCCACCACGCTATCCACCATGATGACTTCAGGATAATGATGCTTTAATGTTCGTGATTATACTTTTTACCAATCTTCAATGTTAAAATTGTTAAAAATTCAATATTCAAAGCACTCATTAATTCATTTATTTTTATATTTCTTTCAGAACGTTTCAATTTCACAACACTCGGCCCCAGCCTGGAACAGAAACTCACTTCGGAAAGTTCGGCGTTCCTCAGATCAACCCTGCCCATTTCCACTGTGCGGCCCTGCACGCTAGATTGCGGCCCTGGAGGCGGCTGTCACCTGGAAAGCGACGAGGAGACGGCCAAGTGCCTGTGTCCGCTGGGCAGGGGCGGTGATGGATGTGCCAGAGGTAAGACGGTCTTCCGCTTGGGAAAGAAGCCTTAGATTAATTAGTGTTTATGGTGTGAGAAAAGGGAGAGTGACAAACCGTGTTATAACGATATTTACTAACTGCAAGGGATATTTTATACTTAAAATACTGTAAAAGTATCGCACTCTAAACCTATAAACGACTCTTTAATGATTAATTGTCTGTGAGGAATTATTTATTAAATTAAGTAATACAGGGTGTCCCAGAAATAAGTGCAAATATTTTAAGGGATGGTTTGGTTTGGAACATAAAAGAAACATATTTTCTCTTTATCGTTTTTCAAATAAGTCCAAAATAACGGAGTTATTTTACTTTGAAAATTTTCAAAACAATGATTTTTTGCTAAAATTTTGAGAACAACTCGATCTTTTCTGGATTTTCTTTCTTTTAAATTTAATCTACTACCTATGTTGCCATATTATTAAGAAATATTGTTTTTAAATAAAAACTAAAAAAATCCAAAAAATTCCGAATTTTCAATTTTTTTTTCGCGAAAAAAACCTCATAGGTGTGTTTCTGGGGTTTAACTATACTACCAGTTAAAATATTTGCACTTATTTTTGGGACACCCTGTATAAGGTTAAAGCGAACTGAAACTTGAAAAACTGATATCTAAGTCGAAAATATTAGTTACATGTTTTAAATTAAAATACACTACTCAAAACTCCAAACTATTTAAATCGCATATTTGAATAAATGTAATTATTAGATATTTCTAAATGAAGCTTGTATTTTTCTGCCATTCTCTTGTGAGTTTTTTGGGATAATTAGGGTACGCACTGATATGTAATTTTTAGTCGGCCGACTATTTAGTTTCAAAAGTGAAAACAATAAATTTTTATGGAGTCGATTGGCCCAATATTTGATTGCATTGCGTAGCCTTAGGCTATACACTAACAAGCAATTTTAATCGACCGACGTTTAGTTGCATATTTGTAACCAATATATCCTTATGGAGCTGTATTGTTTTCACTTTTGTAACTAAACAGTCGGCCGACTAAAAATCACAGGTCAACGCGTAGGCTTACTGTTTCGAAATTGCCTTCACAGTATCCAAACTATTTAAAACTGTAAGTCAGGGAATTCAAAATGCCTTGTTTTTTAATTAATAATTTCTTTAGAGAATATGCCATAATTGATTTGAGTAGTTTATATTTTTCACAATTTGTCTAACTATGACAATCACTTTTTAAATTTATTTATTTATATTTCTAATTTTTACTTTCTATTGTGTCTATTAAGGTAGCTATCGTCCTTTTATTAGCTGACATTTTACGAGATTGGGTATGTTAGCGTATGACATAGGTAAATTAGGATTGATTGACGTGTTCAATTGTTTCGGTCACTTCCTATTTCACCGGAAATGACTATAACTTTTGATTTTTAAATGGCACCCTGGATATTTCTTACTTTATTCAATAGAAAATAACACTCTTGTGATATGACTTTCTCTGATTTGTCATATGTCAAGTTTTGACATTTTCGCTTAAAAAAATCGTATTTTAAATTTCAATCTAGAGTGCTATGGCTGTGTGAAAAACACTAATTTTTTGTCAAGGAGCCTTTAAAAAATAGGTTTGATTGTGTAATATTTTTAGTTTCTTGTCCTGGCCGGTTAAAAGATGCCCAAATCGTATTTTTAATCATATCTCAATTTTTTCAAATGGAATAAGGGTGGCTTATTAGCATATTTTTGGAAGAAGATTTTTTTATGAATAATTTAGTACCACACACTTGGTATTTCGTGTCAAATTGTCGTTATGAATCGCATGTTACAATTTCAAATAATAGGTTAACCTAGTAAACTATAATTTTAAAATTAAAACTAGGAAGTAAAAAAGGGGTTTTGCCATATTTCGAAGTATCATGGTCACTTTCAACAGTAAACTAATTTTCGTTGATGAATTTCAATTGCCGACATCTCAAAACTTTGCAGATTTGTCGAAGTTAAATTCACTTAGTTATTTCTTAATGGAGCATAATATATTCCATTTCTAATTCATACATCATTCATTTTGGTTTCCCCATGGTTGAATATAGTAATATTTGACGACGAATATTTTTAACTCTAACCCCAAAATATCGCGAATCGGCATGAAAAACAACTTTTAGCACACGACGTACTACGTCGCCAACGTTGGCGACGTTGTCGCGACCCTAAAAACATCCACCATTTTGGTGCAAATATGGGTCGCTTAGACGTCGCTTCGACGTTGTCCAACAACGTTGGGTTGCTCCTGGCGACGTTGTGATTACGTTGAACAACGTAATTTTGCTACTTGGGTATCAAAAGATGGCTCGTTTTCACACAGAACATGCGTCTAGAGCGTTACATTCGAAAGCCGATAAAAGCGGGATTTTGAAAATTTTGGAGTTGGCCCCTTTCTCAAATGTCCGATTCAGTTATACTAGTGATACAGTGAAACTCGTAAAGTAGTGTCTAGTTTCTCGTAGTTCAAGTTATGTAAAAACCATAAAATACAATTTTCAATAACATATTTTAAACCTTTTAATAAAACTTTATAAATTAATTCAATATATATTTTAAAAATCATAATCTCTAGCGCATTGCAACATTTCCCCACATTGCTTGATTTATAAAATAGCTTTAAATCCAACACCAATATTACAATTATTTGTATTGAAATGAAAATGTTTTATATTGAACCTAGCACGCTATCACCACAATCAGAAAATGCTTTAAACACGCACGCTATGAAAGTACGAATGTTTTAAAATTAATCCCTAAATGCAATTTGCTTTTAACGTTTTATCAGTAATTACAAATGGCATTACTTAATATTTCAAATAAGAGAAAAAGAATTTAATGTAAATGCAGACATTTTGAATTTACAGCATTTGTTAAACATGAATTCGCCTATTTGAAGGTGGTAGACAAAGTTTTTGGAAGTTTTTTAGGTGCGGAAGAGAGATAACTTCACATATCGGGCTTTTAAGTCACAGAAAAGCTCATGAAAGAAAATACCTTGCGATACCGTCTTTTGATGCGTGTCAAATACTCGTCAGCGAGTAAAGGCAGTAAGTATGGAAGCGTGGTGTATCTTTTTTCATTGATGAAAGAAAAATTATAACGGATCTACAGTTATCACTTTGGATTATTCCTCTAAGATGATCACCAAAATAACCTGGGGCACATAATGCGAAACCCCAAATATCAATTCTTGCATTTGTTGATCGAAGGCAAGATCGAAGGCCGGAGGGGTATCGGAAGGAAGAAAATGTCTTGGCTGAGGAATATTAGACAGTGGACAGGGCTACACGATATACAGTCATTAATACACACCGTCCGGAACAGAGAAGCAATGGAAAATGTTATCGCAAACATCCATTAATGGATCTGCCCTAGAAGAAGAAGAAGATTACTAAAAGTGACAAATAATGTAAAATATGAAAAAATGTAAGTTTAGTCCGCTTTTAAAATATTTTTCATTGTACTATAGGGCAACCGCCCAGCTACGTCGAAACAGAGGTTCCCATTAGAACACCGAAGTCAAGCGACGTAAGGCAATACTAGTAGATGGACGGGTGACCGGTTCGAAACTCTGTATCGTGCTGTTGTCCAATAAAGGCAAAAGTGTAAAATTTATTGACACACACTGCTCATTCACGCCGGTTCGAGGCCGGATGAGATCGGATATCTCGTGAGTAAGAGTCGATTTAGACCCTTGCCAAGTCGGTAAGCCATTGACCATGATATGGCCGAGGACCGCGGTTCGAATTCCGCGTAAACAAAATAGGCCCCGTCCAGATTAGCCCTGGCAGCAAAAAGGAGACGTTAACTGAAATCTTTGCTTTTTTTTTCATTATACTATACTTCGAACAAAGTGAATAAAATAATTTCAAGCACAGTTTTATAAGACTACGATTCAATCAGTCTCTATAGAATATAATCTGAAACAAATAAATATTTAACGATTATATTTAGCAACAGTATAATTAGCTTTTATTTATCCTGTTATTTGTCAAATATATTTTAATTAAAATATTTAAAATACCTTTAAATGAAAAATACGTTGAGTTTATGACAATCTCTATATTTTAATATTGTAGCAGAAATACATACCAAAAATGGCAAATAATGAATGATTTTCTCTATAAGGGAGTAAAATCGAAATACCTGTTTATATGAAAGAATTCAATATAAAATATTTCTACAAATTAGAAATACATTTTAGGGACAATAAAATTTATTTTGTTTATTTAATAATATAATATGAAATCAAAAAAGGTACGCTTTTCAGTTTTAAATTTAGCTGAAATTTAAGTAAAAAATATGTTTTTTACAAGTGACAGGCAATTGGAAGCGAGTATGCAGTTGTTTGAGTTTAGGTTTGAATACTTATAGAATTCATTATTTACCAGATTATATTATGGAAATTGGAATTAAAATTGCTATAACTTGCTCATAATGTTCTAGATATTTAATTGACATCACTTGTTCTACACTCTGATCGTAGATCGCGAGTTTGCATCTTCTAGGCTCTCTAGATATTGTAAGGGATTTTTTTCACGAATATTTGCATATTAAATAGTTTTGCCGTTTGATGGAACTTATATAGAAGCTTTTGTAAGTTATCTTCGTCTTCAGATATGATTACTGCATCGTCAGCATGTCATATTATTTTTAATTTTTTATCTCTCAGTCGATATCCTCTCCCAGCTTGCTTTACTTCATTTTTGATTTCATCCATTATGATGTAATAAGTAATAATAATTTATAAATAATAAACAGGATTGGGTTTAAGCCATCTCCTTGTCTGATTCAGGGTGTCACATCTGTTTTTCTGCTTAGTTTATTGGTCGCTCTTACCTATGTGTACAGTACGTCTGTTGGATCTGTTTCTGTGAAAGGAATGCGGACAAAAAATATTTAAATAAACAGCAATATATTTTATACGTTGACTTGACGAGTACGTCACCGCAAATCGCTCCGCCCACTCATTTTATTGGTTACTTGC